CCCCGGCCCTCTCGCCTTCCCCCGGGCCGGCCAGCGACAGCTCCCCCGGGGTCTCGCCTCAGCCGCCTGCCGGCCACGCGTGGGGAGAGGCCCGTGGGGCACACAGCTGCCCGCCCAGCCCCGTGCTCCCTCAGGGCAACCTTCCACTGCCGAAACGATCGTGCTTTTTTCCCCTCCTAGCCCTGTAATCAGTTGGTTTGTGGCACCGTTGTGTTCTTACAGCATCGAACGGATGGATACCTGACCGTATGGGAGTGCCTGTGTGGGATGAGAGATGCTGCTGTGCAGGAGCTGTTACTGAAGCACAGCTAACTACATTAGAAAAAAAATACCAGAAGACCGAAAGGTTAGCAAGTGTAATTTGCATCTCGGAACTCCATTTAATTGTGCCACCGTCCTGAAACACTTGGCAAAAGAACACGTGTAAAAATGTTATAGACAGGGTATTGATAATACGACTTCTTTGAGCATAAGACCTCAAAAACTCATTTGCTATCACACTCGTAAAGGTCAAAGTAAGAATAGCACAAAAAATCATTCTCCATCTCTCCGCTGACAGCAGAGGAACAGACTCCATTTACTTTCTGGCATGGATCAAGAGCTTACCCCCTTAAATTCCCTCTTTCCCCGATACTAAACAGAGCACTGCACACCACCGGCCCCATCACTCAGTCTTGTGGGTCAGCTCTAACATATTCTCCCTCATATACTGCTCAGCCAGTGTAAATAATGGACCATTAGTTAGGGACTTTGCAAAACTGAAGTGTAACAGGAGAGCTACTACATCAAAGCAGTTCTTAAAAAAGTCAGTCAATAAGCCAGAGATCAAACCCCAGTGAAAAAGCTAAGAGAGACTACACCTTAAAAATGCAAGAGCAACAATGTAAGAGACGTCTTAAACAAGAGGAATTAAGTATTTATCAGCATGGTTAGTTTAAATCTTTATGATGGTTGCAGTATTATTCATGCCAGAAAGCAGTAAATGTGAAGCATAAAATAGAATAAACCTGTTTGCCTCCTGAATGCCTGATTCCAATAGCCTCTTATCTAAGTCATTCTATTTGCTGTAAAACAGCAGAAAATAACACATCACTCACTAATTACTGTGTCACACTGATCAGCTAATATATGCCATTTCAGGCCCAAAATAAACCATCTCCATTTGTCTTTTTTCTTCTAAATGTCACCAAGCAAAAGACTGAATGTCATTCCATTCTAGCAACTGCTTTGCTGAATTATTTTTCCCAGTTTATTCAAATAGGTATCCTGCACTCTTAAGGAATAATACGAAATGTGCCTATAGCTATCTTTTCGGATGGGGCACCATACTGATTCAGTAACATTAACGTTTACTAGATGCAAAAGACTGGGGGAGTTAATACAGATAAAAAAATACAATTGCCTCTACGGAACAACCACACCCTACATTATGCAATGAAATTTCAACATTTAAATATATTCCTATTTAAAAAACATTACAGAAAACGTAAACCAAAGTTTTAGAGGAACTAATATTATCCAGTAACCACTGAAACTCTTCAGTCTGCTCATCGTAAAACATAGGAATCTTTCTGTGCTCTGCTCCAGTGAGTTCAGAAGCCCAGTTTGACTATAACAACTATTACACTTGTTTTCAAAATCGGCTGTCTCATGCACCCCCATGGGTGGAGTGGTGGATCCTCATCCCCACTGAAAATCAAACTGTTTCTGAGATGCAAAAGGGTAAATATTTTGACTCATGGACATACAAACCCCTTGGCTAGACACTGATCCCAGGTGAAATAACGGAAAGGTCCATCCATATTCCAGTCTTTGTTCATAAAAAGTAATGAGTGGTGATGGCACGATCTGCTATACAATTAGCTGCAATCACAGTGCAGCATTGGACAGCCTACATCCCTTCCAGACCTGCATTATCTTTTATGCAAGACAGCGTCAGGGCACAGTGCAGGCCAGCGGCTGCCTGTGGGCCGGGAGCCGCAGGGGACCCCACGAGGCGGGTGCAGCAGGACGTGGCCTCGCAGCCAGGGCCCGTCCCACTGCCCCCAGCCAGGGAACGGGGCAGACAAGAACTCGGGTCTGAGGCCAGGACATCAGCCCTGGAGTCGGGGTCCAGATCGGCAGAGCCCATGGCCAGGCCTAGGCACAGCCAGGCCTGGAGACCAGCACACCTCTGGCAGCGCCGGGTCGAGTGAAATGGGACTCCAGGGCCATGGTGGGCGAGGGTCAAGTCAGACTGGTCAGAGCAATTAAGGCCTATTAGCGCACTCAGGGCCCTGACCAGTAGGAACAAACATCTGATTTTTTAAAATAATTAGATGTTCAGCTGATAAAACTAATTGCACTTCCATTTTAAACTTGGATTTCTCCAAGCTATTGATTTAGTGCCACAAGACATTTTGATTCAAAACACCTGATTTATATAGAAATGACTGGACTAAAAACTGGCTCACTGACATTTCAAAATGTAATTGTCAGTGGCAAGATATCAATGAGTTGATGTGTTTTGAGCGGCATCCTTCAGGATGCTGATTCCTAAGCTGAAGGTATTTTGCGTTAGCAGTCTATGTGGTTGTATAAAGTATTTGGTGATAATGTTTAGAAAGGATAGAAAGATTGGTGTGTTCATTTGTTCAGCAAAGCACAGGCAATTCTGTGGCAAAAAGTACTAAATGCAATCTAGTGTGTATAAAAACTTGTCTTCTAGAAAGAAGATATCTGTGTGCACTTTGGTGAAGAAACAATACAAAAAATCCATGCACCCACTTCTGATATTTACACAAGCAGGAAAATGGAAATATTAGTGATAGTTCAAAGAGTACTGAAAAATGATCCAGGGAGCAGAAAACAAGCTAACTTACAATACGAAGCTTCCACATTTCAGCTTATTTAGCTTCTGAAAGAAAAAACCTGACAAGAGACTGGATTACTTTGAATAGGTACTTAAATATAGAAAAGAGATCTTGATAGTATGACCTTTTCAACCTCACTGACAAAGGCAATGGTATCCATTTGCTGGAAACCAGCTAGACAAACCTAATGTTGACATTTCCTGACTGTGAGGGCAATTAAATATTCAAATAGTTTACATCTGGAGAGATAGCTGGTACACCTTTTTTTGGGTTTTAAACGTGAGATTAGATATACTTTTTAAAGACAGGGTTTAATTCAGCTTTGGAAGAAATGCAGTTTTGTGCGGATAGGCAGCAAGACTTTGGTTACCATCAGATAGTATTGCAATGCAACGTTCTAGGTCAGAAGCAGTATCCTCCACTTCCAGACACCGTCCAGAAAACAAGACCAATTGTCTGTGCTGTCCACAGGGATTTTGCCCAAGTTTCATCAGATGGTTACTGAAATATTTGATTGGGTTCCACAAAGAGAAATGAATGAGTGACACTGGTGGTTCTGAACGTGGATGTCTGACGATTGTCAGGTTTGGGCTCATCACCTCACAGACCATTCAGCACTAGGATTGGCCCCCAGTTTACAATTTACTGTTTCTCTGGAAAGGCAGTTTTATCTGCACAGCTGATCTTTGTAATGGTGGTAATGCCACATTGGTAATATGTGTTTTCCAAAGCACAACAGAAAGAAAACCACCTTGACTCACTATCAAGAAAATGATGTATGATGATGATAAAAATGTAAACCATACAACACAAAAAAAATCCAAACTTTTAAAATATGAATTATATAAAGATAACTGCTACGTTCTTTTTAAAAATTGTCATGCACAACTCTGGGAAGAAAGTAAAATATGATAGGAAGCAAGATTGCTACAGTTTACAGAGACTCTACAGAGGGCAGTTCTTAGCACAAGCTAAGTTTCTTTTGTGTTGCTAAAGGGAATTTTACTTTGGCCCATTTGGAGGATTCTTGATGACTAGAAAGCCACCCCCTTCTCTTCTAGTTTGGGTCTAGGGTGGACCACAGCAAGACACAATTTTGGCATCAATTGGATAGCTTCCTGGGGCTGCGGTAACTTCCACAGGCATCTGCCCAGTCCAGTTTCAGAGCCGCTTTTGAATTGCAAGAGACGTATGTGTAAGTTAGAACCAAATCTGCTTCTTTATCCTCAGCTAAGTTTTAAACTGTAACTAGAAGACACATGATAAACTCAGGAAGGACCAACTCCAAAAATATTATGACTGAGAAATAATTTCTACTTCATCATACAAAATACCAAGAAACATAAGACACACATTTTCATGAGAAAAAAAAAATACAAAAGACTTCCCACTAAAAATGAAAAAGAAAATGTCTGTCATTGTGAGAGTAGAAAGACTACAGAAACAGTTCTTGTGTTTGGTAGTTTGCCAATGAATCAGAAAGGGCTGGTAAAAATGCATTCATTGTGCAGAGCCCCCTCACTCTTGAAAAAACTCCTTTATTCACAGAGACAAGATTCTGCTCTCATATATAGCACGACAACTCCTGTTAAGTCAATGGGAGTTGACTTGCATTACGCAGAGGAGACTTTTGCCGAGATATTCAGCATTTGTTTACAGTAGGAAAGAGAGCCTCTAACTATTGTTGAAAACAATTTCATTGCTTATTTTTAATACAAAGGGCTTGAAACAAG